CTGATAAACTATCTTTAAATCCTTCACAATGTCTTTGCAAAGCTCTAAAATCTCTTTTGAATCCCCAGTCTGCAGTATCCTGACCTGGGATCTTTCAGTCCTCCCAATACAAGAATGCACTTAAAAGTGAGTTTTAGCATCAGGGGTTGAGCATGTGCCGCTGAGATCAGTGCTTGTTTGTTTTCCTTTCACTTCTGCAAGCCAAGAGCACTAGCAAGTCCTTGGGACAGAACACTCCTTCCTGTCTCCCAGAATGACAACTGGAAGAGATAAAGGAGAGTGGACAGAAAACAAAGTCTCTTTAAACTAGTGGTGATGGGAGATATTGCACCTTTGCACCCAAATAATCAACATACATCAGACCCCTGAGTTGTCACTGCAGAAGATTTACGAAACAAGAAAGAAATTGGGCACTTTAAAGAAGTAGCCAGGTTGATTCAACAGCTGGAGCTTAAAAAGGCCACAGTCTACTGGCACAATTGGCCCTGACATCATTGCATTGTTTTCTGCATTGTGTCCTTGTGAATGATTTAATGACTGAATGTCTTGTGGGTTGTTCAGCAGACAGACCATTTGGGATTCCTCTTATTGTTTTTTGAATCACTCCCAGCTCTGCACATATGTTAAACGTATCCTTCGGGGAGGAGTGGAGTTTCACGCACAAAACAAAAATCTCCTGTACTTGAGAAGGTTCCTACAAAGTCTTTTCCTGCTGTGGCCGCTGTGTGAGAATATTGTGCTTGCCTGTGCTCTACCTGTTCATCAAGGATTCATTTATATCATTTAAATTTCAATGCATCAAAAGTGCTTTACCTACCTCACATGCAACTGTGAGGCTTAATTAATTAATGTATGTAGAGGTGCTGTGCATAATTACAAAGTATCATTATTTAGAGTAGTCCATCAAATAATTAACAAACATATCACACAACCAGTAAAACCAAGCCTAACGATACGCATTTAAAAATATTTTTAATTACATATACTGTACTGAATCAGCCCCTTAACTACATACATGCAACCCCAGTGAAGTCAACAGGATTATACTGGAATCACTAAGGTTTTAATAGTCAATAATAACTGTAATAATGAATGTTTATTACAGTATTACCTGAAGTCCCCAGTTATGAACAAAGCCCTGGAGTTTCAAGAGGTGGATGAGCTAACATGAAACGCCAAAGGAGATAAATGTGACAGAGGTTTTGCCCAAAGTCACACAGTAGACTGATGCAAGGGTCAGGATTAGACTCTAGTCTCTAGTCTCCCATTCTGAGCTGTTTTACAACTACAGCACCTTTAGTTAGCAACAATAACATGCCAGCTATAGAAATAAGTACAAGGATCTACTGCAACAACGAGGAACTGAAAGCTGCCCATGTAATGTGTCACAAAGACCTAGTACTTCAATAGATAAAGTCATGAGAGTTGGCAACACTATGGATAACCAATGCTGCATTGCTTGAGAGGTGGCCTAGATGGTCTAATGAGTACTTTAAGCCTCTAAGCACGATGTAGCTGTTTGACCTGAAAACAAAGACATCTCCTGTTCTAGCCACCTGTCATCACATTCCTTCTCCCCATTCACCCTCCATTGTAATGGCTTTCCTTAGGAAGGATGCCAACACTTAACCAGGTAAGAACACATCGTGCATCACACAGCTACAAACCAGTTGCAGCAAGTCTAGCACTTCTGAGATTTAATGATAGTAGGATTATCACTAGAAAACTGGGCATCCTGTTGCTTACTGAATTTGTGTTTTTCGATCCAGAGTACAGAAGACTGTAGTTTATTAATAATGACATCCATTGTAAGATCTCTGAAGATGTTCTCAAAGGTTATTATTGGGCTAACCACAATACTGCTTCTCCTGCCACACACACAATACATGCATTTAGTGTGTGTGTGTG